CCCCCCCCCCCCCCCCCCCCCCCGGTTGAGCTGCATTCATTTCACGGCTGCAGAGCATTCCCCCTTGAAACTGTATTTTACCAGAGTTCATCTTGTTTTATGTTGTCTGGAAGCCATTTGTAGTGAAAGACCACAGAATGTCAGTCTGTGGGCCTATGTGTCCAAGTGTGAACACACCCATCTATAAAAAGATCTCTAACTGCCCTTTCTAGAGAAAGGGAGGGAAATCATTTCCAAATTCCAGTCCTCCTCTTGTTACATCAGTGGTCCACTCCTTTGGCCAATAGCCCCAGAAAAAATAGAATAAAAAGTACAGCTTCTAGCAAAAAAATAAAAAAATAAAAAAGTCTGCCAATTCCCTTGAAGAAAGATAGGCTATAAAATCAATAAATATAAATAAATGTTAATGTTTTAAAAATAAGCAATACCTCCTATTTAGTCTGACTAGGTTCACAAAATACCCTTAAGTCTAAACCTGGTTTCATAGCACACAATTGTTACGTTTACGTAGCATGCTATACCCAAAAAATATATCACAGCTTAACATATTGACTTGGTTCACTCAGGATCTGAAGACTCCCGCAACATGCTGGTTGACAGATTACCTAACTTCATATGAGCTTAGCCTAGAAGAACGTTTCTGAGCCCAGAACTGAAAAAAACAAAACCATAACACTAAGCCAGGTTTTATTAATCCTGGTTCTTTGAGCAAGCTATGATGGCCTGGTTCACTAGTAATAATATACCATAATGGGGAGATAGACACAATCTTTGTGAGCTAAAGATCAATGAGCCACATTATAGCTTAGTTTTTGTGAGCTAGGTCCGCCTTCTACAGACAGTTTCAGCAAGATCTCTGCAGAAGTTCTTGTGGGTGAGGAAGAAGGAGCTGGTCTGCCTGTTTATTATTTTATTTTTAAATTTATTTATCACATTGAAATAGCTGCCCATCTTCTCTAAGTCAAACTAACGATATATGTAGTGAACATGACTTTAAAATAAGAGGATATCATTCTTTTCTATCTGTGTTGGCTGGATCCACAGCAAATTATGATACTAAAATGATCTCTGATACAAATACATAATTGGCAACATTTGCATAATGTTGTCATTAAACCATTTTGTCATTCCCCCTCTTGCCTCTCCTCCCTCAGGAATGCCCGTGTGACCTAGAATATTGGACCCAGATCTGACTCACATTTTAAAAAAGACATTGACAATCTGGAGCATGCTTAACCTGGAGAAAAGAAAGCTGTAGGGAGACCTGATAGATGTCTTCAAGTATCTGAAGATGGGGCAGAATTATTCAGGGCTGTTCAGAAAACAGGGCAAGGAAAAATGGGTTTAAACCACAAGGAATTAGATTTTGGTTGGACATCAAGGAAAAAGTCCTAAAGGTGAGAGCTGATCAACAATGGAACAGACTACCTTGAGAGGTGACACAACCACCTTCACTGGAAGCATTTTAACAGAAGCTGGATGACCATCTGTTGAGAATGCTGTAATAGTAGGTGAACTGGATGGAGGGCTGGAACAGATCATCCTGAAAGACTCTTTCAACTATTACATTATATGAGTCTATGACAGTATTAGCAAAAAGGCAACTTAATAAGTAATGACAGGAGTAGTTTTGATTTTACTATGGTCCAAATGTGTCATCTATATTTGCTTGCAGATACCCGTTGTATTGACCGGAATTTTCTCCCCACCAAATCGAAAGCCCTTGTTGCTTTGTCGAGCTTCCCAGGAGCTGGAAATACGTGGGTTCGCCATTTAATAGAGCATGCCACAGGATCCTATACAGGGAGCTATTACTTTGATGGAACTCTATATAATAAAGGTAAGTGTTGACTACTCCTTAGATTGCATTTCTGAAATTAACTTGGCCTGAGCCAAGTTGGATCAGGCTGTGGATTAGAAGCAGGCAATCTTTTGTGGGTCAACGGGCAATCTACAACTCTGGACTAGGGTGGCTACAGAAAAGGCTTGACCTGAGTCACCACCTGATGACAATTATGTCATTTGTAAGTGAACTTCTGATGATTTCAATGAACAGGGAGAGGAATTATAGAGAAGAAGGTATTTTCTCAGGTTACATGTATCCAAGACTCTTTAAGACTTTGAAAATGGTAACCAAGCCTTTACATCTTGCCCAGGTTTCAAAGGAGAAAAGGATCATTGGAGAAGCAGAAGAACCATTTGTGTCAAAACACATGAGAGTGGCAGAAAGGAAATTGAAATGTTTGACTCAGCCATCTTATTGATACGCAACCCGTACAAATCGCTGGTGGCAGAATTCAACCGGAAGTGTGCTGGCCATCTTGGATATGCCACAGATCAAAACTGGAAAAGTAAAGGTAACCAAGCCAGCTCAGCAAAGTTAGCTTTCTTACCATCTTTCTGGCCTACATCCACTATGAACATTTCTCCCTACCATGGGAGGATTGGGGTCAGTCTAAATGAGGTTCAGGATGGTGACAGAGAAGGCTCAATTTGAATCATCACCAGATCAGCCTATAGCATCTGTTGGCAACTCCCCAGATGATTAATCAATTCTGGGATGAGAACGTATCGGGCTTTAAAGTGAGCGATAGCAGTTTTTTTCTCGCCCACAAATAAATCGGGAGCTGCTGTCACTTTCAATGTAGATGTATCAGACCTCTTTGAATCCTTCCCATGACCAACCTGAGAGCAAACCCTTCCAGAGAAATGGGACCACTGCAGAAAAGGCCTTCTCTCTTGTGTTAGCCAGCTGAATGGCTTTATTTTAAAATGTTATTTATACTGTTCTATGACAGCATTTGCAGAATGAGATTTTTGGCTTCTAGACATTATGGCTATTGACTTTATCCAGCATTAGTTATCAATGGTTCTGGATCAGTGGTTGGAAAGCAACAGAGATGGAACACTCTTGACTTTGTGCAGTGTCTGGGCTTCCCACTAACATTGAATTGTCCTCTGGCAGGGAAAGAGACTTGCCAGACTAGATGGCCATTTCATTGCACGTGTATATTCCAAAATGACCACATAAACCACATTCTTGATTCTCGTTCTTATCTGCATATGTACAGTATATGCACAAATACATACCCATCACGTTGTTTCCTTTCAGGGTAAGCAGAGCACAGCAAAAGAATAACACGTAGTGAGCAAAGAAATTAAAGGAAAGAAAAAAAGAAAGGAAATTAAGAAAATTTCAGTACCATGCAGGGTGCCTCTAACATTTCTAACTTGCAAACCATCCTCGTTTCCACTACACCTATGCACCTTTTGTTCTTCACATTTCTCACCTCTCTCATTTTCAGGATCTCATCAACCCCATCCAAGCATGACTTTCTTTTTTTGTTTCCCCATTCCTCACAACCCAATCCCTCTTCCTGCAGCTTTTTGCTTTGCAGCTGAGCCTTCCTTCATTTCCTCTGTATGATCAGAGCATCTCAATGTGCTTCTTATGCACTGGGCATTCACTCTCATCTTCAATCCACATTCATTCAGCACCTCCATTGTGCTGGAATGGCCACTTCTTTTGCATATGCATTATGACGTCACACATATGCATGGAAGGGGAGGAGCTTGCAACGTAATGATGAGACACTGCTTTCAGATCCTGCAGATTCCTCTACACCTGCACATTTATGACTCTACTGTATCTCTTCTTGTTTTATCATACTCATTTCTTAAGTAACCCAATCCCACTCTATTCCATGTATTATATATTTCATTCCTCCTCAGAAGAATTCAGCTGTAGAAGGGGATGCACCAATTGTTAAGCCGTCCTTCAGACACCATCCAATTCTGCAATATAAACATCTCCCTTTGAAAGCCAGATATTTTCAGGGATTGCTCTGAAGTTCTGGAAACATCTCAGTGTGGCACCAAAGCAATTAATTCTCTTTGCTCGCTGTCCAGAAGTCTTATCAAAGCCCTCCTTTTCCATCTGGCCAATGAGCCAAAACAGACACAACAGGATATCATTCACATAACATACATACAGCAAGTCATGCTGGGTCTTTAACCAGAAACAAATGAGGGCTTTTGAGTGGTTTTGATTCAAGCCCCTCCAATTGCTCTAGAATATGAATGTAGCATCATCTGCACTCTTTAAAGCAGCTGCGTCCTTTCTCCAGATCACACAGCTGCCACATTGTGCAACTGTTGCGCAACTGTTGCACAATCCTAGGAAAAGGCTTGGCTGCTTTAAGGTGTGGCAGATGGGTGTTACATTCATTCACCTGCACTTTCAGAAGCAGCTTTTGGAGAATGAATCCGAGGGCCAGACACACCCTAAAACTAAGGCTACCAGTTTAAATGGCAAAAAAAAAAAAAAAAATGGATTAGACACATTTACAAAGGTAGTAGTCCTTATGGCTACCTACTACCTAAGTATTAGAGGCAGTTGGCTTCAACTGATAGAGAACATGAATGTGTGCAATCAGCAGAGCTCTTTGGTTATTTTTATCATTTGGAATAAGAGAGACTTCATCCTTCTGGAGAGGATGCTACAATGAAACGAGATGTAATCTCTTGACCATCTCATGACTAAATAAGTGCCAGGAACATCCTACCCAGGGAGGAAATTTGCAAGGCAAATTCTCCTTCCTCAAACTGTATGAACACTGACAGGAAAAAGATGCAAGAGCATTTTTCTGCACAGTCCTCTGAAAAGCCACATCTGCAGATGTATAATACATCGTTATTGTATTTCTCACCCCACAGAATGGCCTGATTTTGTAAACAGCTATGCTTCATGGTGGGCCTCTCATGTGCTTGACTGGCTTAAATATGGCAAACGTCTCCTTGTTGTTCATTATGAAGACTTAGAAGAAGCTCTTCTCCCCAAACTGAAGGAAATGGTTGAATTTCTGAACATTACAGTGACTTACGACCGGCTCCTCTGTGTGGAAAACAACCGAGATGGGAATTTCAAGCGATCGGGAGCCAAGCAGAAGAGTTTTGAACCATTCACAAAGGAAATGAAAGACTTGATAGATCAATTTATTGTGATTGTGGACAAAGCCCTACATGACAGTAACTTTACTGGGCTGCCAAAAATGTATTTGCCCAGATGATGCCCTGCAGCCAGCTTGGCGCATTGTTAAGGAAATCCGAATAATGAAATTAAAGAAAAGGCCAGGCTTTTATAGCATTTAAAAGCAAGATTTGCACAGAGTCTGCTGATGAATGCAAATTCTCAAGACTTGGACCGTCTTCAGGGCACTAAGTGCTATGAAAGGCAAGCAATGAAGGATGGAAATTAGGTTATAAACCAAGGCAAAAGCCATTAGCATCTCTGCCTGTGTGTGTCCTTTTCTCTATAAATGGCTACAAATTTTAACATTTTTGTGCACTGCTAATTCTGGGAAATGTGGCTGGGGGCGGGGAAGCAACAGTGTCCTTTGTCTTATCCTAACTGCCTACTAGCAATACTTTCTCAAGAGTATCAAACATTTTTATAGAAGTTTTTGGCAATTCAAATGTGTATTTTTCCCCTGAGATTTTTGTTCATTTGTTCCTTTGTTTTAAACTCATCCTGATAAATATTTTTAGTGAAGCAAGTTAATGGGAAAAAAATAATTGTCTTTGTCTTTTTTTCCTTCTTTGTTCATGGCTTTTTAAAAGGTTTGTCTCTACCCTTAGGAGAAGGTTGGGGTTACTTTTCAACTGGGATATGATAGCTGAAGATAGTTCAGTTGTCCTCGTTATTCCTTATTTATAGTATAATCCTGTATGTGTGTATTTAGCTCTAAGTCTCACTGAGTAGAATGGAATTTACTCCCAGGTAGGTGTGTTGGTGATTATAGCCTTAGGAATGAAATTAATCTGGAGGAAATTATTCTCACGAACATATTTCTTTAACTGGCTTATAATAGCAACAATAACATTTCCGGAAACCTTGCAAACACAATGGCTTTCTGGCACCTAAAAAAATCAAATATGTGGAGTGTGTTCATTTTAAGAGACATGGATTGTGACCCTGAATAAGGTATATATAAGGAATTTTGGATACTCAAGAGGTAGAGCTAAAGACTAGGTCCATCCCTATTCTGAGATCAGCCAAGGTTAGTTAAGTACTGCCAATTGCTTAGGCTCTGAGTTCTATGTTGAGAAATAATAGAGAAATAAAATGCATAAGGTATAGACATGGATAAGCACGGATGATTGACAATGGCCATTTGCAAAACAGAACGTAGAAATCCTTGCAGTAAGCCACTGATTTACACAAGCCAAACTGTCAGGGTGTCAGAAAGAGAAATGGTTTAACAAATTTAACAAAAATTAGGGAGAATATATTTTCACTGTTTAGAAGTCGATTGAAACAGCCACAAAAGGACAGTGCGTATGGAAACCAACAATATGAAATGTAGTAGAATTTCCAGCTCAGATCTTGCAGTTTTCCCCTGTGTTGCCATAAAGGCTCAGGGAATCTCTGATTACAAACTCATCATTAAGATGTGTGGACTTCAACTACCAGAATTCCCCAGCCAGTAACAGCACACTGTTATAAACGATCTTTCTATAATTCTGATCCTTATTAGGTCTAGGAAATTCTGATCCTTATTAGGTCTAGGTGGCTTCAATTTGTCTGAACAAGGTGCTTTGTATACCAGAGGTAACATGATTCTTCTGGTGGATGTGAAAATGTAACACAATTTATTTCAACAAGTTTTTTGCATCACCTTCCAGCCTGATTTGGGAGTTCAAGTAATTGAAAAAGGCTTCTGCTTTTGAACAGCACAGGAATAAAAGTATCCTGCGGCTGTTGGAACTGCTGGAGGAGGTGAGGTAAAGCAATATGGAGGCTTTGCTCTGGTCCTGGAAGAGGGGTGTGGGTGGAAGAGCTGTGCTACCTTATGAAGCAGCTTCAAGAGTTGCCATATCTGGATTGCAATATCTATCTATCTATCTATCTATCTATCTATCTATCTATCTATCTATCTATCTATCTATCTATCTATCTATGTGACTGCTACATGGCAAAATAGAGAATCCTGTATCTCATTGCTGCCCTCAGGTGGTCACCATGATTTTTGCTGCACAGGTAGGGCAACTCTACCCTCTACGGATCACATGAATCCACGTTATTAAAGGAATTGTAACAGTTTTGACCTAAACAAGCAATAAAATACAGGGGCAAACTGTGAACTGATAAGAAGTCCAGAGTAGTCCAGGAACTACCAGATTCCAAATTGTCCAAGTTAAATGAGAATAAAAACGAAGATGCATCCACAAGCATAGAGAGCAGAGAAGGTCAGAATATACAGATTTTGATACAGCAGGAAAAATGGGAAGGAACTGTGTATATACTGAAGTTTAAAGAGTTCCCTCCCTGTCCTGTTACTCCTGTGACTAACTTCTGAGACTGTGGGAGAATCTCTAGTCTTGCAAAGCTTATTTCAGGTCAGCAAATAGCCTGCATTTACAAAAGTCTTCGCTGTAGGATCTAGCAGAAGCTCTATTAGTTCATCTACTACTTCTGCATCCTCCACAGTGCTGCTTGGCTCAACTTCTGGAAGTTACAAGCATATCAGTTTTCTTGGTTTTCAATCTTTCATTCCTCTTCTTCACATAAGGAGTCCTCCAGCAGAATCATAAAATATATTAGAAAAAGGCCTAACATCCCTTTTAAAGGAGCTAATTGGGATGAATTGACCAGCTTAATCTTGGTTATTATTCCTATTGTCAAACCAAACATGGGCAAAGTATGGATGAATCTTGACTTAGTCATTAGTACTTAAATGTGCCTGAATTTTTCAATAGCTCAATCTTCCAGGAAGGGCCCAGTGCACAAGATTGTTTTTCCACCCATTTTGACCTGTGAATTCTTTAGATAAAGACATGTGTGGACAGTGAGCTTCTGTTCTGGAAATGAAGGTGAAAAACAGGTTCTCAGTGATCTAGAACAGTAGGAAAGAGAATGGAACTCTCAGTACAGATTCTTCTATGTTCTCTTTCTACAGATTGGATCAGTGTTTCTCAAACTTGGCAACTTTAAGATGTGTGGACTTCAACTCCCAGATTCCCTTGCTGGCTAGGGAATCCTGGGAGTTGAAGTCCACACATCTTAAAGTTACCAAGTTTGAGAAACACTGGGTTGGATAATGATGGCATTGGGGGGTGGGGGAGGAGCTCAAATCCCCTTTCCAGTGAGATTACTCACTTCTGAGAAGTGATAGATGCTTTGAAGCACCGCCTTTCTGATTAGCCACACCTTTTTTTTCTCAATTTGTTAGTTTATATCCTGCCTTTCCTCTTGGCGCTCAAATACTCCTCCTGTAATGATTTCCTCACAACCACCACCACCCTATAAGCAGGTTGATCTGACAGACAGACTGTACCCTAGTCTCAATAAGCTTCCACCACTCTCTAGCTGAAAGGACTGAAAATGTAGGTTTGGTTGGAGATGCTGGAGAGGGAGAAGCTTTCTGGGAGATAGAAGAACTGAGGATGGGTGGTCTGATTTAGCTGGTCACCAGAGTTGGGACAATAAGTGTAAGTGCAGAGTCTTCAGCCCAGAGAGCTTCCAGATATAGCATGCCACTTGCAACTTCAGCGCTTGGTAGACCCAATCCTCCCCTCCCCATTTCTTCCCTAAAGGGACTCTAAAGAAAAAAGAATGGATGAGGTTATTGTAATCTACTCAGGTCTTCTAAAAGTTAAAGAGAAATAAAAGAGAAAGAGAAGGAGAACACCTGAATTCTCTTCTGGGGAAGAAAGGTGATGGGGAAAGAGAGAGAGAGGGACTTCAGAATACTTGGGGTGGGTGCTAAAGACAGAGAGAGCCCTTACCCACGGCTCTTTCAGCTCCTGCAAATGTTGAACCTTCAACATCTTCAACCAGTTTCTCAGTCAATCAATCCACTTATGAAGGTCAGAGGCCTATAGAAATTTCCCAGCAAAAAGGTGCCAAAATTAAAAGCATGAATCTCAGTATAACCAAATAATCCAGCAGACACTGGCATATATAATGATCAACCAGCTCAGCGACCCAGGACAAAACCTAGCCCGCTGCATGCTTTTTCATGCAGAAGACAGAAATTTAGCTATTGCTTCTGTAATACCTTTCTTTGTTTTCCATGAAAAGGAGCATTAGGAACCACGGCAAGCAATCTGTCAGGGCATTTTGCTGTGACAGAGGCTAGAAATCTTATGCACTCTTCTATTTAAAAAAAAAAAATACAAAAGAGAAAGAGTTGACTTAATTATTCCGCTAGCCTATCTTTTTATACATCTTTGCTGTGTTAATCAATTCCTTTAAAGATAGTGCTGTCAAATCACGAATTGTGTTGCCCGTCCAACACATCTCCAGTAACAACAGAGCCCAAAGGCTTAAATTAGTGCCAAGCCTGAAAATTCTCCTCCGTCCCCCCCCCCCATCAATTCTCATTCAATGTGATGGAAAAG